GAACAAAAAATAAAAAAATTTCTGACAGAAAAAAACTCCACATGAATAAATGAAACAAAGCAACTGATTGGGTGAGCCGTTGAGCCATCACGAGCATGAAGAGAATGGCATGATGACACATAGCAAGCACCTTAAACTACGAACTAGCCCTACCGTGAGAAAAAAAAGAAAACAAAAGAAGGAAAAAATGCCTGATCTTGCTGCACCGTTCTCCAGCAATTTAAGGTACGAGACCGGCTAGAACATCATTCACAGGTGCTCTAGTAAGACAGGTTATACCCTATTTACTAGTTACAGCTAGCCCATGTATCATCCAACCTGATCTTCCATAACTCTCAAGGCACCCACAACTATCCATCACCCTGCACGTCGCTGGCTGTACTGTCTACGGCATTACAGTAACAATTGCGAGACAAGAAGTACTCAAAATTGGCCAGACTAAAAACTAACTAAACTAAATTCTGGTGAGCCTTTCGATTATTTTGTGAACAGTAAGTACCTGACAAAACTAACCTCTTCACCAAAATAGCAAGTGACTGGGTGCGCTGTTCACCTATAGTTTAGGGGGCGGGGCCCGGTAGGCTCATTCCTCACAGGACACCGCCTCCCATCAAATGATTAACTACCCTATATTCTAGTTAGCCTTACAGCAATAAAAACATAATTAAGTTCCTGACAGAAAAAAACTCTACATTAAAAAAAATATACAAAAAAGCATCTACAGTTTCAGGGGCGGGGCCCGGTAGGCTCATAGTTCACAGGTCACCGTCTCCCAACTAAGAGTTAACTACTCTAAACTTTAATTAGCTTTACAGAAAAAGAAGAAAACTAAAGTTTCTAACAGAACAAGGCTCTACATACATGAGAGAGGAAAAGAAATAAAGCTACTGCCTGGGCGTGCTATTCACCTACAGTTTAAGGAGCGGGGCCACGTAGGCTCATTTTTCACAGGTCACCGCCTCTCAGCCAGTAATTAACTACCCTATATTCTAAGCAGCCTTACAAGAACAAAAAATAAAAAAGTTTCTGACAGAAAAAAACTCCACATGAATAAATGAAACAAAGCAACTGATTGGGTGAGCCGTTGAGCCGTCACGAGCATGAAGAGAATGGCATGATGACACATAGCAAGCACCTTAAACTACGAACTAGCCCTACCGTGAGAAAAAAGAAGGAAACAAAAAAGAAGGAAACAAAAGAAGGAAAAAATGCCTGATCTTGCTGCACCGTTCTCCAGCAATTTAAGGTACGAGACCGGCTAGAACATCATTCACAGGTGCTCTAGTAAGACAGGTTATACCCTATTTACTAGTTACAGCTAGCCCATGTATCATCCAACCTGATCTCCCATAACTCTCAAGGCACCCACAACTATCCATCACCCTGCACGTCGCTGGCTGTACTGTCTACGGCATTACAGAAACAATTGCGAGACAACAAGTACTCAAAATTGGCCAGACTAAAAACTAACTAAACTAAATTCTGGTGAGCCTTTCGATTATTTTGTGAACAGTCAGCACCTGATGAAACTAACCTCTTCACCAAAATAGCAAGTGACTGGGTGCGCTGTTCACATACAGTTTAGGGGACGGGCCCTGAAGGCTCATTCTTCACAGGACACCGCCTCCTATCAAATGATTAACTACCCTATATTCTAGTAAGCCTTACAGCAATAAAAAAAGCAAATTAAGTTCCTGACAGAACGAAACTCTACATAAATAATAATATACAAAAAAGCAAATACAGTGTAAGGGGCGGGGCCCGGTAGGCTCATTATTCACAGGTCACCGTCTCCCAACTAAGAGTTAACTACTCTAAACTTTAAATAGCCCTACAGAAAAAGAAGAAAAGTAAAGTTTCTTACAGAACAAGGCTCTACATACATGAGAGAGGAAAAGATATAAAGCTACTGCCTGGGCGTGCTATTCACCTACAGTTTAAGGAGCGGGGCCACGTAGGCTCATTTTTCACAGGTCACCGCCTCTCAGCCAGTAATTAACTACCCTATATTCTAAGTAGCCTTACAAGAACAAAAAATAAAAAAGTTTCTGACAGATAAAAACTCCACATGAATAAATGAAACAAAGCAACTGATTCGGCGAGCCGTTGAGCCGTCACGAGCATGCAGAGAATGGCATGATGACACATAGCAAGCACCTTAAACTACGAACTAGCCCTACCGTGAGAAAAAAGAAGGAAACAAAAAAGAAGGAAACAAAAGAAGGAAAAAAATGCCTGATCTTGCTGCACCGTTCTCCAGCAATTTAAGGTACGAGACCGGCTAGAACATCATTCACAGGTGCTCTAGTAAGACAGGTTATACCCTATTTACTAGTTACAGCTAGCCCATGTATCATCCAACCTGATCTCCCATAACTCTCAAGGCACCAGCAACTATCCATCACCCTGCACGTCGCTGGCTGTACTGTCTACGGCATTACAGTAACAATTGCGAGACAAGAAGTACTCAAAATTGGCCAGACTAAAAACTAACTAAACTAAATTCTGGTGAGCCTTTCGATTATTTTGTAAACAGTCAGCACCTGACAAAACTAACCTCTTCACCAAAATAGCAAGTGACTGGGTGCGCTGTTCACCTATACAGTTTAGGGGACGGGCCCTGAAGGCTCATTCTTCACAGGACACCGCCTCCTATCAAATGATTAACTACCCTATATTCTAGTTAGCCTTACAGCAATAAAAAAGCAAATTAAGTTCCTGACAGAACGAAACTCTACATAAATAAAAATATACAAAAAAGCAAATACAGTGAGCCATCACGAGCATTAAGAGAATGGCATGATGACACATAGCAAGCACCTTAAACTACGAACTAGCCCTTCCGCGAGAAAAAAGAAGGAAACAAAAAAGAAGGAAACAAAAGAAGGGGAAAATGCCTGATCTTGCTCAAAATTGGCCAGACTAAAAACTAACTAAACTAAATTCTGGTGAGCCTTTCGATTATTTTGTGAACAGTCAGTCTGGGCGCGCCGTTCACCTACAGTTGAAGGGACGGGGCCCGGTAGGCTTATTAATATTATTCAAGGGTCACCGTCTCCCAGCTAAGAGTTATCTACACTAACTTCTAATTCGCCTCACAGAAAAAGAAGAAAAGTTAAGTCTCTTACAGAACAAAGCTCTGAATAAATAAGAGAAGAAAAGAAAAAAGCTACTGGCCTGGCGTACCGTTCACGTACAGTTTAAGGGGCGGGGCCCGGTAGGCTCATTATTCACAGGATACCGTATCCCAGCCAGTAAAACTATCCTATATTTTAGTTAGCCTTACAACATCAAAAAATGATTAAGTTTCTGACAGAAAAAAGGTCTACATAAATAAAAGTATAACAAAGCAACTGACTGGGTCTGCCTTTCACCTACAGTTAATGGGACGGGCCCGATAGGCTCGTTATTCACTGGATAACGTCTCCCAGCCAGTAATTAACTACCCTAATTAGCCTTACAGAAAAAGAAGGGGAAAAAAGGAAGTTTCTTACAGAACTAAGCTCTGCATATAAGAGAAGAAAAAGAGAGCTACTGACTGGGCGTGCCGTTCACCTACAGTCTAAAGGGCGTGGCCCGGTAGGCTCAGTTTTCATAGAACACCGTCTCCCAGTCCCCAGCCAGTGTCTAACTACACTAAGTTCTAATGAGCCTTACAGAAAAAAAGAATAAAAGGGAATCGAGTACATGACTGAACCACGCTCAACGTATAAACAAAAAATGGCAAATGATAGGGCGTACCTTTAACAGTAGGCTAATTATTATTCACATCACACCAGATCCTTACCATCAATTAGAAACAAAGGAAGGTACAAGCTTCAACTATGTATTACAAGAAAATGTAGTTACCACGCGTTAGTGTCAGGGAAACCATAGAAAACATTTAAAAAATAGCAACTGGCTAGGCTTGCTGATCACCTACAATTTATTTAAGGGGTATGGCCCGGTAGGTTCGTCATTTACAGCCCACCATCTCACAGACAAGCATTGCCTACCTTAAATTCTTTTGCAAAGCCTTACATATTGTAAAAAATACAAAAATGCAAAAGTCAATATTAAAAAGAGTCCCTGATCGGGCGTGCCATAGACCTACAGTTCAAGACCCAATAACAAACACCTGAGAAAAAGGACATCTAAACATCATGCGAAATACTAACTTATCTATCAATATAACAATATAAACTGTGTCCACAAATATTCAATAATTATATGAAATTTTCGGGGTTATGTATTCCAGGGAAACCTATAATGGTAGCCCTATGAATAATAATGGATGACAGACCACTTGATTGGGCCGGGGTGCCGGTAGGCGAACATCTCCCAGACAGAAATTAACTACATAAACGATCGAGCACCTTGACTACTTACAGAAAAAACAGAAAACCTGAAATTACGAAGAATATCAATATGTCAAAGATCATGGATCTTAAAATCAAAAGTAAATATACGAAAGACAATTCCTATATAATAACCGAAGCCTCATTATTCGTAAGTCACTATCTCCAGCAAGGCATATACCAATAGGCCTCTGAAAGGGATAGTCTACTCTTGATACAAAGCTAAACTCAGTCAGCCGGTCAGGCGTTACTCATGTACCTTTTCCTCGAAGAAATATCTTTACATTAACTTGTATGTGTGTCAAACGTGCAATGCAGTTGGACAAGAGGCATATAAAGCTAGTAACCTAATAAACCCCTAATATCGGCTTCATGACTGGAATCCTAAAATCCCAAAGGAATGGAATATATACGGAAAAGGACAGTAACAGGAATTTTAAAAATTAAGGAGAGTACTTATTCAAAATTCTTATCTACCTACATATAGAATACCCCCTTCCTCTCATTTTTCCTTCGTTTTTATCTTGTTTATTTTGAACAGCCAACGAAGGTTTGCATGATGCAAACACTGCCAAAGAAATGCAAATCGGTTCGAAATATCCCCCCCCCCTAAAATGGGGTATTCTGTATTTGGCCCATCCCTAAAACACCCTTAAAATGAGAAGCAAATGCTACACATGACTTTCTTACCACCATGATCCAATGAAATCTGCTTCTCATCCATCCAGTGTCGAAACCTGATGTTTGGGTCATCACAGATAAGTGACAAGCATGATCCAGGAGAACAGTTGATGGCTCCAAACACAGATTCCCTTCTGCACCATCTTCACATGAAATGGCCGGAGACGCCCCTGGAGGTTGGGAGCAAGAAAAGAAAGAAGTTAAACCCGCTGACCAATGGATGAAGGTGAGTGGAAAAGGTGAAGTCAGTGTGAGATTACGTGATCTTAACATCCAGGGTGAGACGCCTGGTGTCCCGTTATCACAGGGGAACCTCCACGATGCGGGAGTCCATTAGGAGGCGGAAGAGGAGTGTTGCATTATTTCGCACAATTCGCACAAAGTTTTGGGAAATTTTGAAAATTTGCTGGATAGTGATTCTTTACAATTTTGATATTTTGGATGCTCCTGTGGATGTATTATAAGCACTAAAAAATTAGCCTCAAGAAAACTTCTGCATTCGAGAAAAATTGAATATCAAAACTTACCGGTGCTCCCGGAAAATTCTGATAAATTTTAAATTTTGGAAAAAAATTAAATAGCGCTTACGGCCATACAATGGTAGCTGCGACCATGAAAATGTGATTTTTATTATGGTCTTCAAGGATTTGGGGGAAGGGGCAAGGCAAAACTATTTTTGTTGATTAAAAACTGACGTACATTTTGCACTGGGGGCAGGCTGTAGATTTCCTTTTTAAAATGAACTGCCCGAAAGGGCCAATGCTATCTGTAATTTCTTTTCTTATGCTATTTTTTCTTTCTTTTTCTATTTAGAATATTTTGTCGTAAGATGTCTTCTCCTCGAGTCCTCGAAAACTACATTATTTTGCTAATTTCTAAATAATAAAAAGGTTAGGGCTTTCAGGTTATTCTGTTAAAATACGTTTCAGCATTTTGTGGAAAAGTTTTTCTGAGGGTTTGGGGCAAAATAGCTAAGAGCATCCGATGGAGAAAATTTCCTCCATGTTGGAGGAAAATGAAAGTATAATATATTTTCTTTTTTAAATTTTAAAATCGTTTAATGCTTTTGGGTATCTGGATGTCCCAAATACTTCTTCAGGCGCTGCCACGGTATATTATTGTTTTAGCCATAAATTCCGTAATAAACTGGAGAGAGAGCGACTTGTTGTAGTATTTTAGGGGAAGATCTGTAAACATCGGGTTTTCACACTTTGTGCTCCTGAATATCTAGATATAGTAGTTACCCCCATTTTAAAAGTAAACCACAGTGTTCTAAATTAGTTGGACGTAGAAACAATATTATGCCTGAGCATGTGTTCTATAAAACTATTATTAAATTGAGTAAACCATAATTATTTAGCACTCTAGCAGAACAAGACAATGTCAACCTACACCGGATGAAGAATGGCAATATGCAGATTAAATAATTTGCCAAACGGTATTCATGCCAGACTGGGTAATTCATTGATTGAACCACTACACCATGACTTGACATGACTATACCAGAGATTTGAACATCTTGTCAAAGGACTGTAGAGCCAGGCTAGGATTCAAATTTCTCATTGAAGTTGAGCGACTGAACCACTACACCACGGCGTCGCGATCAGTCAAACACTGTGGTTTACTTTTAAAGCTCAACTGAGTGGGATAAAACTTTGTCATTAGTGTGTCTATTGTCTCTCATGAATAAATCATAGGAACAAAAGTAATAATAGTAATAATGAAGCATGATTGCAATGCCAGCAATAATACTGTGGATAACATGAATACAAAATAACAAAAGTAAAGAAAAAATAAAACAAAACATATTGCTCACATGGGTAAAATAAATGTATAACTACCCCTGTTCCCCCACCGCCACCCCTCCCTCTACCCCATACTCTACCCCTGTTCCCCCACCACCACCTCCCTCTACACCATACTCTACCCCTGTTCCCCCACCGCCACTCCTCCCTCTACCCTTACTCTACCTCTGTTCCCCCACCCCCACCCCTCCCTCTACCCTATACTCTACCCCTGTTCCCCCACCGCCACCCCTCCCTCTACCCTTACTCTACCCTCTCCTCCTCCTCCTCATCCTCAGTCGCCTCGCTAGCCGTCCAATGAAGTCTCCAGTCATCGTCTTGCTGTCCCCATTCTCCTTCCTCATCCCTCTGCATAACCTCGACCATCTCAAACACCTCCACATTCACCTCCTCCTCCTCCTCCTCCTCAGTCGCCTCGCTAGCCGTCCAATGAAGTCTCCAGTCATCGTCTTGCTGTCCCCATTCTCCTTCCTCATCCCTCTGCATAACCTCGATCATCTCAAACACCTCCACATTCACCTCCTCCTCCTCCTCATCCTCAGTCGCCTCGCTAGCCGTCCAATGAAGTCTCCAGTCATCGTTGGGGTGCCCCCACTCTCCTTCTTCTTCTCCATCCATCCGGTGAACCTCGATCTCCTCGAACTCGATCTCCTCGAACTCCTCAGCCCCCAGCACCTCCTCTACGGCCTCAACCTCCAGCACCTCCTCTGCCTCAGCCTCAAGCACCTCTTCTACGGCCTGATCAGCATCCAGCGCCGCCAGCGCCTCAAGCGCCGCTAATTCAGCTTCCTCTTCTTCTAAAAACAGGGTCATGTTATCTGGAAAAAAAGTCCAGTCCGAATAAATGAAAGCACAGGATTTATGTGAATTCAGTCAAACAAGGCCCGGATCCCTTACAACTTTTTAGATATATTTTCCCGCATACGTAATCTAAAAACGATCCGGACATTGAAGACCGCGATGGAAAAGAGTGCGAAGAAACGAAATGAATTGGGATTATTAATCATTATCAGTTATTTTTTGTTCAATATTAAATCACGCGGGGCGTCGAAATTTCGTTTAAGGAATTAAATATGGTAGTTGAATTCATGTTAATGATATGCCTTACCAATAGCAACTTGTTTCTGCAAAGTCATGCGTTACGGTGTCATCATTATGAAAGCCAAGAATGAACTTTTATTTGATGTATTCTTTTAATCATTAATGATCATAACTCATTCTCTGTCTTTTTCAAAATCATTATGAACCAAATGTAGCAGCTCTCGACTTGTTTTTGATAATTAATGTTTTTTTCTGCCTGAGCTCCTACTGTCTTAATACAGCCATGCATGATTTAGTAATCATTATTTTGATGCCGTACGCTAGAAGAGAAAAATTATCTTTTCAATAATGTATGCATTAAATGAAAACATTATTTGCGTTTATTTTTTGATAAAATTGGGTTACCCTTTTAACCCTTACTGCACTGGGCTTTTTTAAACATCTGACTGGGGAGGGGGGGGGGCTAGGGCTCCCTCCCTTTCTATGATCTCGGCCGTCGAATGTCCGATGAACACGAAAATTTGCATGTTTGAAGATATTCACGTAAGAAACAAGATGGTATAATTCGTTTTTCCTAATATGCAAGTTGTTGTCATTAAACCCTAATTGATTATGCAAATGCTAATGTCATACATTTTACAGAAAAAAATGTACATATTTGTCTCAAGACTTTCGAAGAATCTTGAAATGCATTGAATAAACGTTTCCTTCATTTCAAATTCATGACATTTCGTCATTTTTATATTTGGAAATGCAAAGGTTAATTTGCATAAATTATGAATACGCATAATTATTTCATCATTTTATTTTCTTATGTATTTTAATGTTTTATATTTCTTATTATATCTATTGTTTTATTTCTAATGTATTTGCTCGGGAACATATCAAAGCAAGTTGATATCAATTTATATCTCACACTTGTTTGAAGAAATCTAAACATGTGTTCACATTTTTGCTTGTACATGAATATGCAATTATAGCACTCTTTGATGACATGCGCATACTAATAATGTGACACCTTACAAGTATATCTGATTTCGACGAAAATGGTTTCCACATAATGAGTAGGACCTCGGTGCGTAGTTGCGTAGAAACGACAATTTAAAATTCCATGGGGGGGGGGGGGGGCTCCTAGGCCCCAGTACAGTAAGGGTTAATACAGGGACAGCATAGATATACACTTATGATACGCACATAAACAGAACCCTGTTCCTTATATTTTGACGTTGACAAATCATGGAATGAAATTTTCTCCAGCTATCTCATGTAAAAGATACATGGAGATATTTCCCATAATATTGAATTTAATGTCGCCAATAGCCTAACACTAATTTCATTTAAATTTTGATAAAAAAATGAACATGGTATGGAGTAAGCAGCAGGCCAAGATGGATCAAACACTATATTTCAGCGGCTTTCAAGGTGTGTTAACTTTGCATAATAGACCATGCGAAGCCGTAATGAAAAATGGCTCCAAATTGTTATATTTTTTATTTTGAAATAATAGTCATACTATTGAATGGCTTATTTGGGCCAATACATGAAATATCGAACTCAATATTCAGAAATATTTCGTCCAATATTTCCTTGTATTGACTCTAAAGCCATCCAATATTTTATTCTTCTTGTATCCATGATTGCAGGATATTTTTAATGTGAGGAAACCCAAAGAAGAAAAAATGTATCATGCGGATAAAAACCCATCTCTTTCTAAACAGTGCTATTTAATCATGTCAGTGTAGCGTAATAATTTGTGTTGTTTTAGTTTACTTTATTTTAGTTAAGAATGTTATATTTTTGTGATAGTAATACATGTATGTACAGCGCCATGAGCGTCAGAGCCTGGCGGATACCGGCGCTATATAAATATCCATGTTATTATTATTATTATTATTATTATAAAGTCTTTCAATTCCACAAGTGGAGAAAGATATAATAAACAAATTATAAACTTACGATGCTGGGTGCACTTTGGGGCGTCGCCCGCGAATCGGGAATCTCTGCTACATCTCGAACCTTTCCTTGTAATGGATGTACATTGCGGTATCCTGTTCAGGTACAGGTTGACCAGCCTGTATGAGAACAACAATATCTTAATATCAGCTTGTCATTTATGGAATGACTATATAATATAGGCCCTTAAAACCTTAGTGGTTTGGGAGGTGCAAACGACCCCAACATACACTGTCGCTCATAAAGGTGGAATATTTTTTTAAAATCCCAATTCATGGAAATATTTTGAAAATGATTTAAAAATAATAGATCTAGATAATAGTATACATTCTCAGATTTTATTGAATAATAATTTGCCAATTTGTGTTTTGCGTGACTGCTAAAGCATGTGTATGCTACTATGCTTATCAACTAGGGGACCTATGCCCTTAAGTCATAAATGACAGTAATGAGGATTAATGCTCCACAAAAGGGCACTAATATAGCACATCGACACGGTTTTGATCCTGGGGCCTCACAGTTACGAGGCCATTGCTTTATCACTGAACCGTGACTGTACGCAGCGGGGGCTAGGGTAGGGGGCAGTTTCCATAAATAAAACAAACACAGATAATGCAATAAATTTTCAATAATTTATTGCATGTTACCCCGGTCCCCAACATAATTTTTTTTTCTGTGTGCCCATGCCTTGAGCCATAATGCATGGCCATCCAGAGGATTTTTTTAATGTTGGGGACCGGGGTAGAATGCAATAAATTATTGAAAATTTATTGCATTTTCCGTGTGTTTTTTTATTTATGGAAACCGCCCCCTACCCTAGCCCCCGCTGCGTACAGTCATGGTTCAGTGACAAAACAATGGCCTCGTAACTGTGAGGCCCCAGGATCAAAACCGTGTCGATGTGCTATATTAGTGCCCTTTTGTGGGGCATTAATCCTCATTACTGTCATGTATGACTTGAGGGCGTAAGTCCCCTAGTTAATAAGCATAGTAGCATACACATGCTTTAGCAGTCCCGCAAAACACACATTGGCAAATTATTATTCAATAAAATCTGAGAATGTATACTATTATCTAGATCTATTATTTTTAAATAATTTTTAAATTAATTCCATAAATTGGAGTAAAACTAAAATATTCCACCTTTATGAGCGACAGTGTAATTGTACAGGCATATAACACGTTTGGGGGTGGCGGGTCGTTATTAGTTGATTTCTACATCGTCCATGGTCGCATTTACGCAATACTCCATTCTGTTTTAAACAGACTAGATTTTATCACAATATCTGCTTTATCTGTGTAAAATCTAAAAATTATTTATTGGTTTTTAGCGGGCGAGGGGACAATTTTTGCCCCTATTCCCTGAAGAAGAAAAAATAATCGCGAAAAAAAAACTAGTCATCATTCATCATTACTGCAGGCGGATGGTAATTTTTCTCACATATTTTGAGTTTGTCGATAAATTCAATCTTCGTTGTAATTTTCTATAATTTTATTAAATTATAGCGGTCATATCTTTGAAATGGAAGCATATTTGCTAAGACCCATCTAAGAAAAACACAAAGAAGGAATTATTGCAGCATGAGCAAAGTTACTAAAGTAGGTAAACTATTTCATAAATTGTGTGTTCCAATTTCCCAAAAGAAATGGAAAGGTATTCTTTCAAAGTCAGTTGTTATTAAATTGGAATCAAATTTACATCATTCCTTGTAAATGTTATTTTTTCGACAAAAATAAGGTATTTTCAGTTTAAAATAACTCACAATAAGTGTCAATAAGTATTCAAAGGCTGTTGGTATATCCCATTCTGATTTATGTACGTTTTGTTCAGAAGATGAGAAATATACCCTGAAAATGACATTAAGTTAACAATCTATGCGCAAATAGATGTATATCCAATTTATCTAAATACTAGAATCTTGTTTTTCATTGTACCTTTCTTTGTCAAATGTATTGATCCATCAGTTTTGTTCATTTGCTTATACTGTTTTATGCTTTGAGACAAAATGAATAAAGACTTGAGTCGAAGAAAAAAAATTGAGAGATTTAGTACAAGATAGAAAAGTCATTTTGTTGCTCTTAAAGATAATGTGTCCCTTTTGTGGCCAAAAACAAATTATGTAGAACTTTGCAGGAATTATGAATATGTCACGTGCGTCCTATATGTGAAATGTATACGTTAGCAGTGTCCTAGTATTCAAATAATGCGAGGAAACCCGTTTTAGTTTCTAGACTTGACTTTCAGACACTATTGAGTGACTGACTGACTTCTGTTTTTCTTTGGTAATAACATACATAAAATGAGCTGTATATATGAAGGATACATGAGCATTTTCTGTACACCTCATTAACCAACTTCTTTTAATGGCCAAAATTAAGCTGATTGAATATTTGCGCAGCACGAAACGTACGACCATACGGTACAAGGGTCTAAAACCAGATTATTTTTCTTTCATAATTTTCAAAACTGTTGCGAAAATTCCTAACGGTCGATATAATTCCACATATCAAAAAGGCAATTGCCAGTTCTAATCTTTTCAGGGGATTTTTCAGTACCTCTTGTTTGTGATGGGATTCACACAAAATTATATTTTCAGCCCGCAAAGGGAAAACACACCACCTGAGTGTGTACTATCATTTTGTTGGTATTTATGAAGAGCAAAGGAAACATGCACAGGGTTGGTATTCAGGGAAATTTCAGATATGAAAGGTGTTAGTATTGGGGGTGTAAATATTAATAATTTTCGTTATGCTGATGACACTATACTTTGCGCAGAGAATGAAGCAGATTTAAAACATGTATTGGATATTGTAAAAGTCAAAAGTGAAGAGCTTGGTCTAAGCATGAATGTCAAGAAAACTAAGTCAATAATTTTTAGTAAAACAGAGAATAAGCCTAGAATATGTTTGAAACTTGATGGACATATCATTGAGCAAGTCAGTAATTACATCTACTTAGGACAAAATATCACAGATGATGACAGATGCGAAGCAGAAATAAAAAGAAGAATAGAAATTGCTAGGAATACATTTCTGGCAATGAAAGGATTATTCACAAATAGAAAGGTGAAATTTGCGCTTAGGTTGAGACTAGTAAACTGTTATGTATGGTCTGTTCTATTGTATGGAGCAGAAATATGGACGATAAACAAGGCCATGGAAAATAGAATAACATCTTTTGAAATGTGGATCTACAGATGAATGATGAAAATATCCTGGAAACGAATGAAAACCAACAAAGAGATATTGCACATGGCAGGGCGTAAACAAATTGCACTAGTAGGATTAGTTAACCCTAAAAATGCCGGGCTATTTGAGGTCTTAGTACGGCCGGGGGGGGGGGGTGTTACACCCACAAATGTAATAACGCCCACAAATGTAATAACACTTTACCCACAAATGTAATAACACACCCACAAATGTAATAATATCACACAAATGTAATACACCACAAATGTAATAAATCACCCATAAATGGCCCTGTTACACCCACAAATGTAATAACGCCCACAAATGTAATAACTTTACCCACAAATGTAATAATACCCACAAATGTAATAATCACCCACAAATGTAATAATGACTTTACCCACAAATGTAATAAATTTGAAGGGATATTTTGTCGAATTTGTTCAAAACTAAAACCCTGTAATAAAGAATGGGTATAGCGCGCAGTCTTTACTCCAGACCCGGTTATTTCAAAAATTTAAAAAATCTTCAAAACTAAGACCCCATAATCCTTTTCCTGTGGATTAACTTCTTCTTCTTCTTCTTGATTTGATTTTGTTTGGCAATCAGTCACAGTTGACTATTTTTGCCACACACTATTTTATGAATTATTTATATATATACATTATATGTACAATTTCATGTCATAAATGACTATTTTTAGGATTCTTTCTCTTTCCATCCCCTTTCCTTCCGCTTATTTTCTTTTTAGACCCTATATATATTTGTTTTTTTTTTTTTTTTTAGAGAGAAAATTCAATAAATTAATAAATTTGGAAAGAGATGGCCTAGCCTAGCGAGTTGTACGTACTTGTGTTTTCGCGCACGTACGTGCGCGTTCACATACCACCTCTCTATGCACATGTGTACTTCGCACGTACATGTACCCCCACCCATGAGTATTGAGCGTAGTCTTTCCTCCAGACCCGATTATTCAAAAGTTTAAAAAAAAAACAAAAAACAAAACAAAACAACAAAAAAACCTTTTAAACTAAGACCCCTCCATCTTCCAAATTAAGACCCGGTAATAAAGCATGGGATTAGAGCGTAGTCTTTACTTCAGACTCGGTTATTTAAAAAAAAAATCTTCAAACTAAGACCTCACCATCTCATTCCTGTGGAATAACATGGGTATAGAGCGTAGTCTTTCCTCCAGACCCGGTTATTTCAAAAGAAATAGAAATTTAAACAAATCTTCGAAACTAAGACCCACCATCTTATTCCTCTTTTTTTCATTTAAAAATAAATTACATTATAACATATGTGGATACAACACGTCACAAATAAATGATTGGTGGGCGGTCACACGAACTGACGAATCAGTCAAAATGGTCCATATATATAACACACAGAGGAGGGACCGATTCGATGGTTCGTTGACCGTCGACGATTTTTTGTAATCATGTAAATATTCTAACGCCCACAAATATCCTCGAATTCAATGTTCGTAGAAAAAAAAGTAATCGAATAAGTGACCTTAAATGTATTTAAATATTGACGCTGATTGTTTTATGCATGTGATTATGAAATATGTTCACGATATGTATAACATATATATATATATATATATATATATATATGTACGCTATTAGTGACATTGAAACGTTGGATTGCGATGTTATATTTTCATGAGTGCGTGAATGAATTACCTTTCTTCATGTGATGAACGTATCAATTACTTATACTGAAGACTACCAATTGGTACGCGGTACACGGTACACGGTGTGAATTTATGAGAACGACATTTATTCAAAGGCAAATACAAACAAAACACATTTATATTACAGTTTTCCCTACTTCTGAAACACTCAAGCAGCTATATAAACAAGAACAAGTCTGAAATGATAATCGGTTAACAAGCAAATAACAACGCATACTTTCATATAACAAATCACTTGATATGACTCTACAACTATGGAAGCACTGAAAAATAATTATCTTTATTATAAGTTCGAATAGAATACAGATCAATTTAATTCCGTTCTCTTGGGAGCCAAATTATACACATTGACACAGTTTAGACAGAAATAATCATATAAAGGAGTAACAGACCCATATCACATATCTAGAGAGATGTACACCCACTTGAATTAACAAGTGAACATTTGAAATGCCCACAAAAATACCTTGTTTATTAATGTTATCACGAAAAGTGTACTTAACCTGTCGGTATACAGTGAAAATACACGACAATAAACAGCTCTATGTGTATATGATTAGTGTTCGTATGATTGTGACGTGTTGTATCCACATATGTAATAATGTAATTTATTTTTTAATGAAAAAAAGAGGAATAAGATGGTGGGTCTTAGTTTCGAAGATTTGTTTAAATTTATATTTCTTTTGAAATAACCGGGTCTGGAGGAAAGACTACACCCTATAACCATGTTATTCCACAGGAATGAGATGGTGAGGTCTTAGTTTGAAGTTTTTTTTTAAATAACCGAGTCTGAAGTAAAGACTACGCTCTAAACCCATGCTTTATTACCGGGTCTTAGTTTGGAAGATGGAGGGGTCTTAGTTTTGAAGATTTTTTAAATTTTTGAAATAACCGGGTCTGGAGTAAAGACTGCGCGCTATACCCATGCTTTATTACAGGGTTTTAGTTTTGAACAAATTCGACAAAATATCCCTTCAAATTTATTACATTTGTTGGTAAGGTCATTATTACATTTGTGGGTGATTCAAAATTATTACATTTGTGGGTGAAATTATTACATTTGTGGGTAAAGTGTTATTACATTTGTGGGTGTTATTACATTTGTGGGTAAAGTGTTATTACATTTGTGGGCGTTATTACATTTGTGGGTGTAACAGGGGAGTGATGGCCCCCTTAAGATCTCGGCCGTGAAATGTGCATGCGTGTCAAGTGAAGTGTATAGAATAATATGATAATTCAAATTTTCTGAAAAATTCACTCATTTGCATATTTATGGTAATCTATGCAAATATGGTCATAAAATTACATTTTTACCCATAAATCATACATTATTCATATTTAACAATTCTTTTTCACTTCATATATTCATTACACCATTTGGAATAACAATACGATAACAAAATTATGAAGAGCTAGCTTATTCCTTATGTTATTTCTTGTTTTCATATTTCTTATGTATTTAATTGTTTTTATCAACTTATGTATTTTATTGTTTTTGTTGTTTTATTTCATTTCTTACTACATTTCAACTATTTTGACTCCCAAAACAACCACCTAAACTTTAAACAAGACCCAATAACCAATGTTTGATCTATTTTTTTTAAAGAAAAATGACATTTCCATATGTTTTGTACACAAATCACAAAAAATGAGCGATTTTCGGGCTGACATGCAAAGACAAAATGTCACATGACCTTGTAACTGTAGGTCCGGTTTTCAAAAGAAATCTTTTAAAAGATGCGCAAGACTCGAAAGAAAAAAAGTCAGCGAGCGGCGGGGCGCCATCCATATGCGTTCCAGAACAATCAGGAAAATCGTGGAGGGGGGGGGGCATAATGGCCCCCGGCCTTATAGGGTTAAGGAGAGAAAATAAAACACTTTGGTCATGTTAACCTTTTGAAAATATGTCTTGTTTATATCTAAGGCTTTACCCACTTTACTTAACCGATCATACGCTTTTATTTCCACATTGTGAAATCCCCAAAGGAGTGGGTAATCTGCCATGGTAGGCAAGTCATAGTTAGAAGTGTATTCTCTAGTTTTCAGACCTACATTAATTTTGAGGTAAGTTCTGTCTTCAAATGTGTAAACTGAATAGTTTAAACATATTTTTTAACGTTTGGAATGCTGAAGTTTTGTAATTTTGATGTGCTGA